TATGTCCCTCTTTCCTTCACTCAGAAGTAACTTTAACTTTGTATGGTTCAGATAAACTATGTATCCACAGACTGGAAGCAGCTGTCAAAACTAAGAAGCTTTAGACATTTTGCCAGGGAAATGCAATTATTTTTGTCTCTGTGTCTATTCCTTGAAACATTGAAAGTGGTCAGTGCCAAGTGCTTATCAAGTGTTGGCAAATAAAAGTCTCTTGTAAAATTATATACTTTCTGCTGTATACTTTCATCAGAATTTCCATAAAGAAGTAATTCCAACTTCCTTCATCCCTTCTCCACCTATGCTTTCTGTCCCTCTCTTAAAAATTATTATTATGTGGTGACAGAAAGAAATCTAGCTATCGGAGGTAAACACACACTGTAAAAAAAAAATATATGTTTTACTGTTAAAATGTGCAGCTGAAACTTATCGGATTTCATTAACCAATGTCACCATAAAAAATAAATTAATTAATTAAAAAAATGCTGAATGCAGCTAAAATGGGATTTTCATATTAAGTTTGCACCCATCATTGTAATTCCAAGATAATCAAATTTAAAGTATATATGCTTTATGGAAAATTAAGCTGAGTCATGCTAATACTGACTTGTTGAAACAATATTGTCTTTTGCTCATTAAATCAGAAATTCTTACCCTTAGCCTGCCGATGTCTACCTGTATTAATAAAACCTGCTGACATTAAAAATATTATTATTAATACTAATGCCTTTACACTTGAGTACATTGTGTAATGTATATGTACATGTTGTCTGCCTTGGTTTTCTATCACATATTGGCTGTTATATCCTATCAGCCACAATAATTGATGATGGTTCTTGCTCGTGTTCACCCCTATTAGAGTCTCCTTATCATTTTCATCTTATTGCTATCATATGGCCATCAATGGCATGGGCTTTTCGGAGGATGAGCCATGTGAAGGGCCTTTATTAAATATCTGAAGACCAAATCTAGCTTACTTTAAATTAACCTGGAGTAATAGCATTACTCCAAGACTCAGATTAAATATAATTTTGCTTTCTCTACTTTGTCTTTTTGACAGTAATTGATTAATTATCATTATCCCTAGAGCTGATCCAGTGTCTGTGCCATGGGGCCAAATAAAAGATTCATTATCTGTGAATGTCTTTGGAAATCAAATGTGGAGGATGATCACCACCACCAAAATGATCTAGTTTTAAAGAAGAAGAAATAAACTTCGAACTTAAGCCCCTCAAAAATATCTGGGCAACTCTTTAAGTTAATCTTCACCAAACCTAGATCAATTTCTGAAGAAAAAGCTTACCAAGCATGTGTTGAGTTCATGAAAAATTAGATTCAATCCATTAAAAATGCATTCAATTAAGATAAGTTAACATAGTTGCAAGCATTACATTACAAATTGAGCAGAAATCGTTATAATGGCTGCTGTTTCTGAACAAGAAGTAATCAGTGAAGGGCTGAAGATCATAGGTGGCTTGGTAGGATGTCACATTGGAACCTAGGTCATAATTTTAGGCCAGAAACATTTACATAAGGATTCTTTATGTTTGTTACCAACCAGCTTATGCTTTTGCCTGCATCTGAGCTATTGTGGTGAAGCCACACAATAGGAAAAAGTATGATTTGCCATACCAACTCGTTCTGAATTAGTGTATTACTTGAAAAGTACCAAAGTGATAAGATATACCTTAAAAGCTACACTTAAAATAAAATACTAAAATGTATCACTTTCTTATCTCATTTTCAAATGAAAAAAAAAAAGTACTCCTACTCAGGTTTTAATTAAGATATTATGAGATTTAAGCAGGATAAGAAATGAAATAAAAATTAAAGCTAAATGTAATTTATTCTTCACAATGAAGTACACTGACCATATTTTAGAGTGTGAACTTAAATAATAGTCATCCTTTTCACACCTGGCTTCTTGGCCTTTCTAGCCTCAGACATCATGTAACTATTCCTTTGAAAATTCTGCTTTGAGCTGAGCTGGTTCTAGGGTAGTTACATCTACAGAATTAATCCGATTGAACCCCAGTAATTTGCTGGTAGGATTCAGGAACACCTGAAGGATATTAATGTTTTAAAGAAAGAGAAGATTCTAGGGTAAAGAAGAAGGGAAGAATAGCAATAGGGCAGAGCTTAATGATTGAATTTCTAAAGAGTAAGAGAATATTGAATTTACAGATGGTCTTCCCGTCGATAGTTCAAGTTTGCCAGCTCTGTTGCCTCATATAACCCCATTCGAATGGTAGTATAAGTTTTATATGAGTAACTTACTTTGCAAGATGAACCAATGTCTAATTTAAAAAGAGTCCTCTAATTTTGATGAGGGTTTTATTGGATGATATTTACTCTGAAGGTCCCATTTGTTCTTCCTTCATTCATTCATTCAATAAATATTTGAGGGTCTAATAAGTCCTAGCATTAGACATACACAACTGATTGTGCTGTTCTCTCCACCTTTGAACAGTTTATGTTCTCTCTCTATTTGCCTCAGACAATCTCCCGTCTTACAGCCTGCCATATTTCATGCTGAATTGATCTCTTCTGAACTGGCATCCACGAGTGGTGGTATTAAGCTTCCTCTAGTCCCAGGAAATGTAGGGTGGGTCAAAAAAAAAGGTTAAGAATCAATTAGGTAGTCAAACTAGAATAATGCTACAGTTATCAGCAGAAAATTTTTGTGTGTTTTCTTCTTTGCTACAGAGAATTCAGAAACAAGAGAACCAGTGGAGAGGCTTTTGAGACTAAGCTCTCATCTGCTTTAGCGTTAAGATATTAAAATGAAAAAAAAAAAAAAAAGATGTTAAAATGACATTAGCCATCTGATGGGCTTCCAGTTAGATTAAATGAATACCATGGCATTAATGAAAACCAAAATTGCCATAAAGATAAAACATGTTTATTGCCCAAATGATACAGCAGGCAGTATGTCAGCAAGGCTTGTGCAGTTTATGACTGCTCAGCAATAATTGCTTCTGTTTCGAGCATGAGTAGAATATGTTAGCTGCAGCCTCGCCTCCAGAGACGTAAGCATTTTCTGAGGGTGGAAGGAGATCTGGAAAGGCATTTTTGGTCTAACTGTTATTTGGGTGTATGTGTTTAATCAGCTCTGTGCACCTGGAGGAGGCTGGCATTCTACGGGCTGGTCCAGGAGGACCTGATCAGCAGTGGCCAACAGTATCCAGTGCAACACCAGGTAAAGACTGAGGGTTTCTCCCTTCTTGCTAGGGTTCTAGAAAGCAATCAGATGACCTGTTTTTGTAAGACTAGAAATGCTAATGGCTCTATTTTTATTTGTTCTTCTTTTCCTTACATGCATGACTTCCTTACATACATGATTATTTGGATTTTCTACTTAATGTCCTTCATGGGTTTAAAACAGATAATATAAGGTTATGTGTGTGGGGGGTGGGGAGTGAAGTGTTTTTTAAAATAACTAGTTAGCTTTCAAATGCTTAGGTTCTCCCAGTTTCCCAGAGAAGATTTTGTGGCCTCATGTGCAGAAATGGCACTGTTAGTAAAGATCTTTTTGTTGAAGACAATGGAAACCCACTCAAAGTAGTGACATGAGTCTGTATTCAGGAAAGTGAAAGTTAATAATGGCACGACAATGGCCTGCCCTTCACGTGCTGGATAATGATTATGCAAAAGAGAATTTTAAAGTCATGTGTTAGAGCTGGATGGATGGGTGGGTGAGTGGATGGATGATGGATGATGGATGGATGGATGGATGGATGGATGGATAGATAGATAGATAGATAGATAGATGGAAAGAAAGAAAGGTGTTTCTCATGGAAGTGAGAAGTTATCAGAACCAAGATGCCTCTTTCTTTGACTTCAGGTCAAAGTCAGATCTGTTTTATTCTGCAAACTCATCTTTACTGCCTTGACATGCACATTGCGAAACATGACCACCACACAGTTTCTTAGTTTGGAGGACAAATGGGGACCAAATCCTAATCCAAACTTTCAGGAAAAAGAATATTCCAGGTTGAACCAAGAACCAAATGGCTGGGTGAGCACAAAAAAATTGCTTAAAGTGACATTTCCTTAGTTTCCTTATTCTTGCCCAATCACTAAAGCAGTCTCATATAATAAAAATATGGCTTTGGAGGCTCATCCCTGTGGCAGTTTACAGAAAAGGGTTATGGACAGTGGGAATGGTGTCTACTGTAATTCTCATATGAATAGAACTTTATGATGATGATAATAGTTGTAAATTATTGAGCTATAATATACCCAGACACTGTACCAAGCACATTACATGTGTTATCTCATTTATTCCTCATGACAACCTGGCAAGGGATTTATTGTACCTATTTTATAGATGAGAAACTGGGAACACAGAGAGGTTAAGAAACATACCCAGGTTCATGTAGTTTGTAAATGGCAGAAGTAGGATTCAAACCCAAGTGTGTTGAGCTCCAAATACAAGTATATCTAGCACTTATATTCAGAGCATGGCTGGTTTGCAAGAATCCATCCAATTTCAAATGCCTACACACATACATAACAGATGACATAAGTGTGTGTGTAAAAAGTACTTTCCAAAAATAATCAGGTGCCTTTCAATTGATTAGGCTATCCAAGTGACATGTGCAGCTAAGGGCCTGTTTTTGCTGGCAACTCGTAAAGGCTTTTGTTGATTCTAATCGGCAAGCTTTTGCTATTTATGAATGTTGCATAATTCAACCAAAAGTCACATTTGTCAAAAAACAAATGCACACGTTAAAGCAATTCATTAGAGGGCTAGTATTGCCAGATGGCAAGGGGAAGAATATAAAATAGTTCATTGACAAATCCACAGCCCCAATGCCAATGATGGAGTGAATAAGTGATGGAAGAGAAAGCGGGTTTAGACTGCCAAGTATTGCAGGATGGGGAGGCATCTAGAAAAGTGAGAACTACCCAATCTAAGCAGTCACATGAAATCATGCCCTGCTGTCCTGCCTCATGTCAGGATGTTTCTTATTCTCCTGAGGGCTTTGTAGGTCAGTCTGGTGAGCCAAGAAGTACCTTTGAATACATTTTCCCTTTCATTGATGATGCTAACTGGTGTATATTTCTAGACAAATGTGAAATAGGAACTGTCTACTGATTATTTTATTTGAATTTGGCCCAGGTCTCTCCTTCAAATTCAAAAGAATGTTAGGAGCCCATCTTCTTGACAAAAGATAGGGAAGGAGTCTCCATTGCTCCCCTTCCCTACTCTCCTACCCACATTTTTATAATCCCTTCCCTCCAGGACTGTGCCTGGCTGATGACTCATGAGTCGCAGTCCTCATGGACTGAGGTGGACAGAGCTTACGTCTTCCAGTTACTCCATGAGATGACCCAACCATACTTTCACCATACCCCCACACCAACGATATGAAGTTAAAGACATATTCTTCTGCCTTCTGTTCTGTCCTTTAGGTACTTTTAGGTTTTAGGACTCAAAATATGTTCTGCACTGTTCGAAGGGAGTATGGCATAAAGACTAAGATGATGATTTGGAATCAGATCGGAATTGAATTACAATTCCAAACTTACTTGCTGGGTGAGCATAATTCATGTTTTCTTAATTACATCATCTCTGTAAATTAGGTCTGATAATAACACCTATATTATTGAGTTGCCATGATAGCTAAAGAAGAAAGAGCTGAAAAATAGTGCTTGACATAGAATATTAATAAATGTCTCATCTTTTTACTCCTTTTATTCTGGGATACTTTTGTGCAATCTGCGATGTAGCCTTGGCTGATAAGCTGGTGGCCAGAATTCAGTAGTTTTCACTTCTAGGCCCAGACAGAAACCCTCAAAAGTTTTCTGGATCATCTTGACATCTACGCAGTTCGGTCATCCCTCAGCTGTCCTCTTGGAGATGAAATGAGGAGGATTTATTAATTTTACCCAAAGAAAAGGAAAATGTTTTGAAAAACTTGGTTGTTTCCAGTCCCAAGTAGAGCCTGTCTTTCATTGATTCTGTTCATTGATTAGTGCTTCATGACAAAGATGCAGTTGCTTCCAAACAGCTTCCTCTTGGTGCCTGAGTCTCCTTACGCTTGTGTCTGAGACCTTCTCGTGCACCAGCACCTTCTCATACAGCAGCTGCAGTCGTGGGCATAAAGGGAGAGAGGCCTGCTGTGCAGTATCCTCATTCACATGTGTTCCTACAGTTGTTTTTCCTCCACTGATGAATTCTTTTGCTTTGTTACTAAACTGTTCATTTATTTTCACAGTCCACAAAAGCCTAGGTAAGATGCTAGGCTCTGAAGGGATCTATGGGGACATCACTAGGTCATGTTTGCTGCAAGATAAACAAGTCAGGCATTAACTCCGTCAATCCTGATTACTGGCTCTTCTCTCCAGCCTCCTCTGTGTGAGCAGACCTGGGCCACAGGGCTTCTTACTTCTTTGGCAGCTTCCTGTGAGACTGAGTGGAAGAAGAAAATGAGCTAAATAGGGAGAGCAGGGCATACTCCAGATGGAGGAATGTGTTTGGGGAAGAGTCATGTGAAGGGCTCACCTTTAAAACTCTGACTTTTCAGTGCGAATGCTCTGAAGAGGTTTTAATGAGTGCCCTCTTGTGACTAGTTCCTAGAGAGAATTCTGAGACATTATAAAAATACTGCCCCTGCCTTCTAGAGAGCTGATCTGGCTTCAGGGCATCAGGCTGCTTTGCTCTTTCCCACTGATTCATCCAAGCTCCTCTTTCTATATTTCATGGGATCTCAGGACTTACCTAAGGCAGCAACGGTAAATTATTTTTTGGAGTGGGAGCTATTCACTATTTTCAAAAGAGCACAGGGAATTCCCAAACACACAGCACTGCCAAAGATAACTTTATAGCTCATCAAGCAACACTCCAGGGGATCCAGGACTGAACGGTGAAAGATGAATCAGGTAGGAGTGGCAACTAAGGCAGTGAGGCTCAGTTAGTGCACCTCAGTTTAGAGCCACTGGGCAGTTCTCAAAGGGTGGTTCCTGGAGCAGCGGCACTAACCATGCCTACTGAACGAAACCCAAAATTCTCAGGGTGGAACCTAGTCATCTGTATTTTAACAAGCCCTCCGTGTGATTCTGATGTACCCTAAAGTTTAAGAACTGGTTTAGAGAGTCAAGAGTAAATATTCCTGAGGTTGTCTGATATCTTTGGAGGCTCAGAAACCATGCAAGGAAGCATCTGCCTATGATTCTTGCAAGAAATAGAAAGCTTTTCTCCATATCAGAGAGAATCACTAAGAGCTCAGGCTCTGGGTCTGAGTAACTCTCCTTTGGATTCTAGCTCTGCCACTCAGCAGTTGTATGTCCCAGGAACCATGACTTAATTTTCCAATTTCCAGTTTCTTTCTCTGTAAAATGGAGATAATAGCAGTACCTACCTTATAGGGTTGCTGCAAGAGTTAAATGAGATAGTACACACATATTACAGAGCCTGCAGAACAATGTTTAGTAAATGGTGGCTATTTTTATGATTTGTCAAGGTATGAGTCTATCCTTCAGCTTCAGAATGTAGGTCTGAGTTGTTCTGAGTAGTCTCTGTGGGAAGGCTCTATTATACAGAAGATTTTTTTTTAAGTGCCTGTCTTTTTGTGTCCTTGGGGGATATTTTTGCCCTGGTTTGCCACATCTCTTTGCTCTGTGGAAAATGGACATAGTTTGTGTCCTAGTTTTAAGGGGAGTGGGGTGGGCTCTTATTTGTCTTAGAGATTCCTACCCCTCTGACAAAACCAGCTCCCCACAGAGGGCCACCATGGAGCCTCCATCTCTGGCTCTTCCCCAGAAAAAAAAAAGCCACGATCCTTAAGTTTTTTGGAATCCATTTAGGAAAACTGCCAACATGAATTTTTCCACTTCATGAGCGAGTGCAGCCTCAGGCCCTGTTTGAGAATTTAGAAAGCATGCCGTTCCACTAACCCGCTCACCCTCCATTTCTGCTGTTGTCATGGCAATGATAGTCCTGGGAGGTGTGTGCATATCCTTATTAGGGGGAAAAAACGGAGATCAGTGGTCTCTGGGTGGGCCAGCTCCATCCTGTCAGTACCCTCCTCTCTCACCTTGCATCTCACGGCCCAGGAGTGCTAGCTCGGCTCAGGGGTCTCTAGCTGAGTAAAGTGAATTCTTTAAGAAGCACTTTTACTTTCCGGGGGCGTGGAGCTCATCACGTCTGTTGGAGTTCTCTCTGTAGCTTATATTATGCGTTCTGACCTGGAG